GCTAATCTAGGGCTACTTTTCTGACTGCTAGACTTAAAATTACTTAAGACGTTCAAGCCACACACACAAAGATGCCTATTCAGATGACCTCACTCCGAAGAAATATATTTGAGCCGAAATTGTCCAGGTCTTCTGCACTGTGGATAGTGTATAGATTTACGGACACGTGCACGAGATTTGTAGGCAGTTTTTTTGAACGATTTGGTCTCGTTGTACCCCAGAATATTTGCGGATCTCAGGCGTTACTACTATCCCTTTTTCCATTAAAACTTCCCCGATAATTATTTCACCTTCAGTTTCCCAATGTGTTTGCCTGACCTCCTGCTAGTCCACTGGTGATTCCTTCCAAATCTATTGTTTGAAATCTTAACTGGGTTGGAAACAAGTATATGTTTTGTCGAACACATAACCGATACTCGGGGATCTGCAACATCCTGCAGGCCCGAATATCAACGGTACAATATACGCATTACAGTGGTAAGGATCATCATGAACTAACCGGACTGCTGTTTGCTGTCATTAAGGCAGTAAAGCGAGGGCTGGGCTTCGAAGCTAGATGGTGGACACGTATTCCTTGTTATCATCTTTTGAGCGGCCTTGCGTGGTGCGTTGACCAGCGGTTCCTGCCCAAGTTGCCAAAGTAAAAATCTGGAGGAAGTTTCTGGTGAGTCTAAGAGATCTCCATTTCGCAATTTTCGAGTTTTCCACAGTTAACGAGAAAAATTAAATTCAGAAGTTGCTAAATGCGGTGATCTTCAGGACTCATACTAAGTTCCATCTTGTTTTTGCCTTTTTTAGGTTGGTCCCTATGTTATGCGGATGCCATAGCATCAGTGTTCACGAACGACATCGATTTCATGTAACCATCCTTAGTGTTTCCGATGTAAATGCCCTCCAGATAGTCCTCACATGGCCAGAGAATCACTCACTTCTTCATCAGTCTAGGTCAGCATATTTGTGTGACAAGTCCCTTTCCTTAATAGTTTCATTAATGGTCAACAGTAACATTTTTAAATTAACAAACTATACCTTATGCGCTACTCTCGTTTAATCGACAAAAGCATATTTCAATATTGGCAGGCACTACTTTCATGTAGATCTAGGAATGATAGGATATCGATTAATTGCGCAAAAGATGGGATTTGCATGGTACATTTTCTAATTTCCATGCTGAATGAATAGCCAACATGTAAGACAGTTCCGAAGATAATGGCTGATTGCAAGGACTATGAACGTCCGAACAGTAGAACAACAGGTTTATTAGCCCGGGCTGGAGCCCTCATGCAGGAGTACATCGCCAGAGCCTGTGAGAGTGCAACGACGGCTGGAAAACCTTGGTCTCCTGTACAGGTCTGAAAACACAGGCTGACAAATCCACTCTTCCAGTGTCCACGCGTTTACCTATTTTGCAACGTGAACACGTGAACTGAATTTTCACAACCATTCGTTCAAACGCTAATTATTTGAACAGGCTGTTAAAGTTGGCGTGAAAAGATTCCTTTAGAAAATACGCATTGTATATAACGAATGTAAGAGAATATCTTTTGTAAATCAACCTCAAAGGTGTGGAAGCATGGTTATATAATGCGCCAGGTTCCAATTCAGTCGTCAGACAATTTGTCGAACAGTCTTTCACACGCCTGACGACGTCAATCTACATGCACACTATACTAACGAGTATAGTTCCGCTGTACAAGCGGACCGCCCGTAGGGGCCCCTGTTGCAGCAGGACAAGCCAAACTGTATTTCAGTTTCCCTGTGTTAACTTGGACGTTAGGTGAGCTCACATCCAATGGGCAACGCGACCACACTACGCATGACATGGCCACCAAACGTTGATATACTGGCGCTTATGTGCTTCCCCAAACGATCTCTGTACTAGCCGCAGTTTGAACAGTTGTGCTTAAACAATTTTCCACCTGTTACCCTAATTCCATATCCCGGTTTCCTCCAGAGAACTTCAGAGAACTTTCCTTTAATTATAATAATTATGCAAGCGTCCCGCGTCGTTAACATTTCAGATTTCTCTGACAGTTTATCCGAATTAGGGCCCGAAAAGTCATATGAGGCCGCGCACTTAGGCTTCGCATTCGCTGGATGAAGCTGTGTTTGAGAAGTTTCCTCCGCAAACTGGCTAGGAAGCGATGGAATATTCTCGAAGTGGAAGTTGTTATTCACGATCAACTGAAACACTCGGAGGCCTTGGCAAATGCGCACATAACCATGAGTCTAACAACAGAGCGCACCCCCTCCTGGAAGCCTGTTCTTTACCTTGCGCTGAGCTTACGAACCTGGTTCCGAAGAACATACTTCGTCCTACTGGACCCCAACTCTTATACTGCATGTAAAGCAAATAAGGACCGACGTCCACTTTAAGTCACCCTAAGTCCGTTTATTGAGAGAATGAGGCTTCTGCCCGTGTGCTTCCTATTCATATTTAAAAACACCAATAAGATCATTTTTTACACCAGTAACTCTGGAAATTCAAAAGTTATCGGTATGTGTGAACCAGGCGCTATCTGCCACCAGCGACACAATCGTGATTATGTGTCTAGTAGCATCACAGGGCATCGAAAGAGTCGTTAATGTAAACTAGGAATAGCAATGGCCCTAAGATGGAGCCCTGAGGGGTACCGCTTAGAACGAGAGAAAGAGTTAATTTCAAGTCATCAGAACACACGGTTTAGGATCTTCCTGTGAGAAAATCTGCAATCCATGTCAGCAGTTTCCCTCTTATTCCAATTTTAGAGGGTTCGTAGGTTTGGCGTTTGTGTGGGACGCTGTCGAACGCCTTCTTGAGGTCCATGTAGACGACGTTGACCCTACCACCTCCATCGAGTGCGCGAGTCCACTGCTCCGTCGAGAGGAATATACTGGAAAGACACGAGCCGTTCTGTCTGAAGCGGTGCTCCAACCCTAAAACTGAGTGGTTCTCCTCCAGGAACTTAATTGCCACCTTCATTAACACGGTTTTCATTGTTTTACCGCAAATCCAGGCGTGATTTACGGGCAGGTAATTGTCAGCGATAGCGCAGGCCCACCCTTGCATATCGGGTAGAAATTTGCTGTCTTCCATTCGGATGGCAGCCCACTTAATTCGAAAGACAAACGAAGGATGTGTGCTAGGGATTTCGAGAGTCCGTTCGCCAATTTCTTTAAGAATTTGGACAGTATATTGTCCGGACCGGACGACTAGGCTTCTTGGAGATTCTGTAGCTCACTTTCCACGACAGTTGTCGGGAAGCGTATAGATTCCAGAAAGGGACCGGCGATCACAGCAATGCTGACACTGCTTCTGAAACTCCGCTTCCCTAGTGAATATTGAAGCAAAGTGCCGTCCCAAGTGTTGGGTTTTTTCGCCATTTCCAAAAATTTCTACGTCATTATCATTCCTAGTACTGCGACGGGGTTCCTGATTTTCACTGGGCTGTTAATATATTGGACTGAAATTTTGGGGTTTGTTCAGGCTGTCGGATAATTCTGGATCCACACTCCTTCCTCGTCTGACGGATGCATTTTGTGATTTTATTTCGTCGACGATGGAACTCTTCAAGATGCACCAGTGACCCAGTTTCTCTGAATATCTTCCAGCTTTTACTTTTCTTCTTTAACCGTCTTTTCAGATCCCTAGCTAACCAGGCAGGTCGGCTAGTTGTTTCTTTGTATTTTTACTGGACAACAGTGCCGAATTAGATCGAGTTAAATCGTCTTAAAACATCTCCATTCGTTCTCCGGATCCCTTTTGGGCAAACAGTCCCAATTCACGGACATCAACTAGTCTTTCATCATGTCAACATCTGCCTTCTATATATTAAATTGATCTTCTGTTCCTTTTGACACAGAGAGAAGAGAGAGTAGTCCCACAGTAGCGTCGTATGGTCACTGCTTCGGAGAGACGCGTTGGAATACACTTCATTGCCCCAAGTAATTGGCTCTCTGTTTATATCTGAAACAAGTTGGTGTTTTCACCTGCCGTGCCAGAGGGAGGTTGACTGTGTGGCCCATTAACTTACAGCTGAAAGAAGTTGACATACCGTCCACTGCCAGACTTTCAAAATCTATTGCCAGTGTGTTTAAATTCCCAGCAGTAAGAAATTCTTGGTGTCTAGCTACTTCCTTAGCCAATGAGAGGCTTGAATCGTCAGCAACGCTCGGGAGACTTGGTGGATTATAAACCGTCAAGAATTCTAGAATCATTTAATAGGAGGAAAGCCAGGTGGGATAAAAGTCCCCAAACCCAACCGACAATCTCTGATGCGCATGTTTTCCCTTCTATTCTCATAGCTGACTTGTGCGTTTTGCGTTAGTTAAGTCAGCTGGCCTTCCGATCGATAGTATACACTTTTAAAGTCTAACATATCATTTTCCCTTCTCCTGTTACGCAATGCAATTTGAACCACCCGATCCACCATATGACATACGCTGATAAAACCTACCACCTAGATTGGTTTCAGACCTCACGTCTTGTAATCTGGCGGACGACTGACAACCTACAACAAAAACATTTGACTAGTGACAAACTATTTCTGTTTGCCTACCAAGTCCAATTTCATATTTTGTACTTGTAAGATTCTAGGGTAGACAACCTGCGCCAGGTTAACTTCCCTCGTGGCAATCAGCATTTTTCTATGGACGACATACCTGTTTGTTTTACGGAGTCGTCATTAAACTGCTATGGTAACAGTTATTTGCACATCAAGTTGATCTGTCGTCTGTAGGTGGAACCAATTCGCATCCTGATTACAGGGGCAGCCGGACATGTTGGATATGATTTGGCAAATCTCATCGCGCATGGTAGCATGCTCGGGAAACATCAACCAGTTATTTTGCATCTTTTTGATATACCAGGAATGATACACTACTTGCATGGTTTGGCGAGCGAACTGAGGGATTGTTCTCTACGTCCACTCGAGAAAGTTATTGCAACGACCGACATGTCCGTCGCATTTGCAAATATAGATGTAGCTATAATGTTAGGATCTATAAAAATCGAAGACGGGATGGAAAAGAAAGACGTATTGAATGACACGCTAGCTCTTTTTAGAACACACGGGGAGGCGCTTGAGCGATACGCCAAAAAAGTTGTGAAGGTAGTGGTAGTGGCCTACCCAGCAAACACCAACGCATACATTCTGAGCAAATTTGCGCCGTCAATTCCCAAGAACAATTTTTCCTGTCTGCTCCGGCTAGATCACAATCGCGCGATTGTACAGGCAAGTAAGGGCTACTTATTTCATATTGTGTATTTTTAGTAAATTTTTAATAGCAGTAGTTCAGTTTTAAAAGGCATGTTAAGAACAGGAGAATAAGATAACTTTTGCCCATCATAAGTTTGCAGAATTTCCGGCGCCTTTCACGGACGCCACCTCCGCTTATCCTCATATTGTAAATGAAAAAACAGGTCGGCTTATAAAGGAGGAAATCCGATGTGCCTGCCTGCAGATTCAAAGTCGGGCTTGATTCCATTGTCAAACGATTATAATCCAAATACCAACTAAATTAAACCTGGGCCGAACCGCCCACCCGTATGCAAGATCGGATAGAGCAATGTGCAAGACGCGCCCACAACTAGATACTCAATAACAGCCTCGGCATGCGTAAGCTGGTAGTTCACCCTTTACTACTATAATGATCAAAGCGAGTAAGGACTTAAGACGTACGGCAAAATCATTTGGTTCAGAGCTCGAACTTCGGTCCTTATCTGCTACAGTTCCCGGAATAGAATCTTCCATTATCCTTCTAGAATGTTAGCCAGGAAAACGAGCGTCCTCAAAGTTGGATACCTAAGCAATCATACCTTGTTGGCCACATTTTCCCACGACCGATGTTCGTCAGTCTGAAATCCAAACATTTTATTAATTTGCAGTCCTACAACACTGCAGTCCGTGTATGAAAAACCTTACATCTTTCGTGCTAATGATTTTGGTAGCAGACTTACAGTTATTCACAACTGCAACAGTAGATAGACATATATCCAGAAGTCACTTAAAGCATATTCATTGCATTCCATGTTTTCGACTGTTAAGCACTAAATTATCTATGTTTGGATCAGCACCAAGATACCTCCATTGTTACGAAAACCACTTCAATTAAATTATTAGATCGCCAAGCGCCTCGGTGTCTCCTGCGGTGCCGTTCACGACGTCGTGGTCTGGGGTTGCCACGGGACTACGGAATTCCCCGATCTTTCACACGCCTACGTGGTACGCGGAGATAAGAAGATCCCGGTTTCGATGGCCTTGGACAATGAGGACTGGACCAAAAACGCCTTTCTGAACCACATTCGAGAGAAGAGCGTTACTGTCTCTGTGGAAGCAATGAAGGCGATGAATGCATCCGTCGCGGCGCGGGCCATTGTAGATCACATGCATGACTGGTGGTTTGGTACGCCAGAGGGTACCTGGACGTCGATGGGTGTTTACAGCCGGGGAGAGTACGGCGCGCCCAACGATGTGATCTTTGGGTTCCCCGTCACCATCAAGAACCGAGAGCCAACCATTGTCGAGGGATTGCCCTTCGACGACTGGGGAGATGACAAGTTTGAAACTACAGCCCGGGAGTTGATGAGCGAGCGACAGATCATCCTCGCTGCCTGTAAGGACGAGTAGATACAAGACATTCTATCTATACGTAGGCGCTCGCAATAGAGACTTTGTAACAATCATTACCTTCTGAAGTTTTGAAACTAAATACGGACAGACTTTAGAGGGGGATAATGTATGCGACATTTGTATCTTTCGCGAGGAAAATAGCGCGACGAGTATTTGGATTATAGTCGTATATTTAATGTCAAAAAAATGTGCAATTCCAAAAAATGAATCAAGTATCTAAAGAAACTATCTTTATCAGTATGTGAATTCATTGTGACGACAAAAGTGCGTTTTCCGTAGAATTAAAGATGTCAAGTTTAAATCTCCCCCAATCTAATTAGCAGGCCAAATAGCCTGAGACGTTCCCCTACAGTAGGACTCCGCGCTCCCAAAAGGAACTCATTAGATCTTGCGCTGGTTAACAATTGGGCTCAGTAAAACGAACCCGAGCATCTGCCGCCATTTGTCCCGAAAATGGCGTATACTGGAATCTTCAGCAAGAATCATATCGGACGGATATTTTCAAAGTGATGACCTTATCTAGATTAGCCTAAGTATGTGCCACATATCATCTCGTAAGCGAAAATAAGGATGCAGAGGCGGAAAGCATAAGGAACTACTGTTCAACCTTTGCCAATCTCACACTCTTCTCTGAAAAAGGACTCGCCACGGACATTTTCAATATTTTAATGCTCGTGATCTTGGATCCACAGGTCGAAATATGACGCAAGTAACGAAGACACTTAAGTGACAGGAATGTGGAGGGAGGCGGGAGTGCGAGGAAAGACGTGCGGCAGACATGATGTTAACGCAGACAGTTGGAAGAAGGGGGACACAGAGATGGCTCAATACGGTGGAAAGAAATACTTCAAGAGAGCGGCAAGGCCGTTGGCACACCCGTCCGCCGATGTCTCTAGCTCCACTGAGCAGGATTGAAAAATGTTGACAAACTTCGATCGTTCCTCCGAATTGGAGCCGAACAGGGCACTGTCCCCCTCTGCCAGGCTTCGCGCTGTGACCGCGAGCAGCTGTGATTGGGTGAGACCGGATGCCCCAGCGACCTTGACGTGACCATCTGATCCAATCATGCTGCGACCAGCGGGGCAACAGCAGAGGCTGAGACTGAAAGGAAAAGCAAGACGACCACTTTTAATGGATGAGGTTCGTCAGAAAGCAGACCCCATCAATTGGACCCTGAGAAACAGCATTTGAGCAGAAAATGGGGTCAACAAATGAAGTTACGTAGCTCGTATTGTCAACACGAATTAGCTGCGAGATTTTGAAACAAGGCGAATTAGGCTGAAGTGATATGACCGAGACTAAATTGACAAGAAGTAGAAACGATCACTGGAACAAGACCTTTATTCGTCTGACGTTTCGGATCCACGCTGGAACCCATCATCAGAGACAGTAACAGATATGGGTGATTCTCCATGAAATTGACCTCTGATGCGCTGAATAACCGATGTACACAACAGCGGTTGATCGGTTAGATTCTCACATCATCCAAGAGGGGGGAGGGGCAACGCTTGAGGAGCAGCACTTCCACCTTCCCAGGGCTTAGCTCATGACAGAAATCTCATGGAAAACGCTGCTCCGTCCAGGTAGATAGCGGTTCCTGGTGGAGGTTTCCAAGCAGGGTGATGCCTTCAGAATCATCACGGCGGTGGCGGGAGGTCTTGAACCAACTTGACGCCTCGAGTTGGAAGAACCGAGTCCATTGCGGCGGTAAAGAAGACAGGTGATGACGACTAGCTACACGTTTTCGAACATACGTTCAAACTTTTGTTCGAGGGGGTACAGACAACGCATAATCCTAATTTCCTCACGTGGTGCCATTAAAGATGAAACCAATGAAGGTCTTTTGAAGCTAAACTGGTTTTCCGTGGGAGGTAAGACGGATGCGAAATCGGCATCGAATTGAAAAGCTCGAGGGCCGCGTATTACTAACAAAGGGTGATAGTTTGTTTATTATTTCCCAAGGATGGAGAAGTTCATTCCAAAAGCAATGTGCACTGACTGAAAGTGGGTGAAGTTGAGGCCACAGCAACCGGCTTCTAGGCCTTCTGAGCCAAGGTGCTCCGCCCGTCGAGAGACTCCCAGACCCCGAATACAGAGAGGCTGGGAGAGATAAAAGGGAAAGTCCTAACAAGACAATGACACGGACAATGACATGACCATCCGTGGCTGATTTCGTAGCTATACTTAATCGCAGACCAGGAAGATAAACAAAAACTGTTCATTCTAATCGCCCTCCTGTCTTTGTCGACAACAATTTAGGACTACTGATTGCTCGTCGCTAGGCAATTGAGAAGGCACGCACTAGGCAAGAGCATAGATGCGGGTGGGGGGGGGGGGGCACATGATCCATCCTAAGGCCGTGACAAGTCGGTGAACGCAACTCTCAGGAGACATTTTAACTGCGCCTAGATTGCTGACTGCGACGTCGGGTGTTGTCGCACGGGCCTTATTTCTTTCATAACTCTACCGTGGTTGGCCGGGAAGCTCTACTGACGGGTTCTTGCTCCCTCGAAATAAAACTTTACCTTAATGACCATATCCTTAAGGGCATAGTAGCGAAGTCATGGGACGGACGCTCAAGTGTCACCAGTCTAGGGCGCGGGGCAGTAACAAAGCACACTAACTCTTAGGTTATATTTACATTGTTTGCACCCTGGCTACTTAATCAAGCACAGTAGACGTAATTGCTTGTGTGACAAGGGTTCAACTTGAACAGAGTGACTAGCGCAGAGGGACATACGTTGCACGGAGTACTCCGTTGGGCGCAGATGAAAGTAAGCACACGGTAGAGGCCCACAGAGCTAGGTCTTTGGGTTCACGACGCAGAAGCGAAGGTAGCGAGAGTAGAAGCCACTCGCGAATCAACTTCCGCCCGCTTTCCGTTGCTAGGAAGCTGTGAAAGATCTGCGTAGCGAAGAGACAAAAAGAAGTCAAGAGAGAACTTCGTTTCATAAGTTTCGCACTGACTAGCATACAAGCAGCCACAAATAATGCATTTAGATACTTAGGAAGGCGCAGCAATAGGGATGCTGTGGGGAAAGAACCAACCGTAAAAAATCATGACAGTAATCATAGTAGGATCTGAGGTCCACGGCGCAGGCCTCTTGTCCACTTCGCCTATGATAAGCCAATGAGCATAAACCGAAGCTAAACAAAGTGTCGAGGAGGGAATATCTGAGCCCACCAGGGACTCCTGTGATCCGGAAGGATGTCAGCATTAATTTTATCAGTGAAAGTTCGACCGTTGTTTCCGACTATGTCTGCCACATCAGGGTGGGAGAGGGGACGTGCAGATGGACACTGAAAGTAACGAGATTTGTGGAGGGCATTGAGGAAACCCGCAATTTTGCCATGCATATGTTTTATCACTCAAATAAAGTGCCGGAACACACCGCGCGATTTAAAATATGCAAATAAGACGGAAAAGAGGTAATCCAGGGTTATTGGTTGCAAAATACCGGATTGGACAGGACGGTATGCGACAGGCAGATCTAACCTTGATCTGAAACAATAATCATAGCCTGATACAACATGCCTACTTACATCAAATCATCAGGCATACTATAGCAACAAAAACTAAGAATTGCACAGTCGATCGCTGCCGGCGAAGAGACCATCTGCGACCACGGCGCGAAATTGTCATCAGCGCTAGGATGAAAGAAGTACATCCGTGGGGTGTCCCCTGACAGCGAAAGTGCGGCGAGGGGATGTCGAGGAAATGAAAGGGACACAACAGGTGGTCACTCTCCAAAACCAAGCAGGGAGACCGGCCTAACGTGCACTTCGGTTGCTAATCCCATGCCTACCGTTTTAAGTTCTTGAGTAGGTCAATAAAACTGAAGATAGACATGACGGCAGTGGCCAGCTAGTAATGAGACCCACGTCCACGAGTGGTATACATGGCGTCCCCACCTAACAAAGCCGTTAGCAGGATTCGGCCACTGTGCTCAGTTCGGCATGCACGACAGCTGAACTCTGAACCGTCCGGAAATCGGTATGAGACTAAGGTGACTATCGCTCATTTGGGGTCAACAAAAAATCACCTGGAAAAGAAGACATTTCATCCTACAGCGAGGCGGACAAACCGTCGGCCAGGAACGGGGCACTGGGAAGCATATTTCGGAGGTTGCTGTTGAGTTTTTTCCAGGGGGGGGGGAAAGTAAGGGAAGAGGAGGGCGCTTACCCGAGACAGAGCGTTCGCAGCCAGGTCACGGTAGACGTGATCCAGCCGGGCAATCTCCGCGACAGCCTTATTCACGATCGAGCCCAGCGCCACCTCAAGGACTCCGTTCAGTATGGTCGCGTCCTGGCCGGCGGGAGAGGCGGGCACAGTAATGAGACTGGTCACGGACTGGATGAGGTCCTCACTCACAACTGGCAAACAACGGGCCAGGACGCGGGCCTCAAGGGGCGCGGACAATCGCGGCAGAGGGCCACTGCCGCGTAGGCGTTCCCACAGATAACTCGTGTACTCCTGCGATGTGGCCAGCATGCTGTTTAACTCCTCAGGAAAGATTGCCTTGGATCGAGAGGCTTGAGAGAGAGAGAGAGAGAGAGAGAGAGAGAGAGAGAGGAGAGAGAGGCGGGGGGGAGTAGGGTGCGAGTCTTGAAAACGTGCACCTTATAACCTAAACGAACACACCGTCAACGTGGCAAGGGGCGCTCACCAATCATTCTTACGGAACTCACTCGTTCCGTTGTGCCTTACGGGCTCTCTCTCGAGCCAAACCAGCAGCCGTAGAGCGGCTCATGATATAGGCAGTATGTTGTTACTGACAAAGACGAGGGAGACTGGAATGGCCATTTCTGGCTTATTAGCCGTCGTCAGCCAGTCATACCCAACCCCGAAGTGTGGTACACCCGAGGCTCGAACTCGCGACCTGTTAGTTAGAAGTCCACGCCTATAACCACTAGGCCACGAGCCCGTTGCCCTGTCGGTTTCGATCGGAAATATACAATTGTAGGGGGCGCTCAACGATCGTTCTTACGGAACTCAC